AACAGCAGGAGCAGCAGGGCGCCGTTGTTTTTTTCCCCTTCCACCCTGATGGCCTCAAGCGTGGTTCTGAGAAGACGTTGCCTGATCAACTGGGCATCGGCCTCGACTTGGAGCAAACGCGAACGCTGGGCATTCGAGACCCCGAAATCTTGGCAGCCGTGCCCGCTAAGTGGTCCACAAAGCTATTCCCAACCACGAGAGGCCCCAACAGGTTACGCTCCACTACTTCCTGCGCCTCTAAGTGGGACGGGATCTGTAAAACAGCAAGGTCACCAGGATGACGGTCCGTCGACTGAATGACCTCCCCAAGGCGTCTCCACAAATCGGCATTGGACCCCGTCGGGGCCGTGAAAAGATTGGTCCAGAAACCCCGACAAACTTCCTCGTTGTCGGTCACAAACGCCATCGGTCCCCTGGACTGGGCCACGGCTGTGATTAAACAAAATAACCCACCCCTGGGGACGGACTGGTGCCGACCAGGCAGCGGGCCATAAACATAACGTATATCAGACTGACATGGCTGTTCGGGACTATTAGACACGGCGAGCTTTAACCTACGCAGCCTCGGGTCGCGGGCGCCCCTGCCCCCCGACGCATCCCCGAAGAGGAGGGGAGGCTGGAGGGCGGGGCCAGTCCCAAAAAACGGCACAACTTCATCATCATAAGGGTGGCTATGGACCCAACGCTCATCGTTGGAAGGGGGGGTCAATCACAAGCACATCCTTGGGAATGAGGCCCCTAAGCCAAAAACACTCGCAGCTATTAGCTTGGGCTAAAGCTTGGGGCACTAAATGGTCAGAGGCGGCGAAGACGGGCAAATCACGATTGCACTCGCGCTCCCACACACGATGGAGCGGGGTCTCCAGAGCCTTGCCACATCTTCTGCACAGCTCAGGGGCCTGAGTACCTACACCTTTTTTCCTATCATCAGTCCACGTTCCGCCGACGGCGATCGTCATCATCAATTTGCTGAGTTGACGACCGTGCCCAGGTATACGTTCCAGTCGTAGAATATATCTTCGCAAACTGAAATTGTCGATGCCGTGCCCCATGCCACCACCGCAATGCGATTTGGCAGCAGCTTCTCTCCACAAACGATCCTGCAACGACTGGGTGAACCTGTCGATAAGGCCCCTGGCCGGGTCAAAAGCCTGAAACTCAGCCGTCGCGAAACTCCATCATTCTTCATCCCCTCCTCCACTGCTCGGTGGAAACCACGCGGCCTCTCGCGGTAAGTCCCACCCAGCGTTGGTCAGGTAGGCGATCACCGCCGTGAGAGGTCCCCGTACATGTCTCCACCGATGCTGTGGCTCGAGGTCCTTGAACTGCTGAACTGCATCCTGCCACACCCGAGCTATGGGAACTCGAATCCAGGGGAACTCCAGCCAACGCCGCATCCACTGCTCCAAGCACTGCCGAGGGAGGGCATAGCCAGGGTCGGCCCCGGGCGCCCTGAGATCCAACAGCGTGGTCAGGCAGCGCCCGCGGCGATGCCCAGATACTGCCCCCAGCCGACGGCGAAGATCCTGCAAGACCGCGTCGGGCAATCCAAGAACTTGGTGCCCATAGCGGGCCCCTGCTTGGGGCCCTGCAAGCTCGATCTTCTTCAGCACTCTGAAGCGCCTCGAAGCATTCGCAAACTTGCGGAGACGCCCGTGCTGCTTCTTGGTGTTGGCCATGCGCTGGTTCCGAATGGCCCTGATGAGCCTTCTCCCGCAGCTCATGTCCACGCCTAGGTAGGTCAACCTCGAAGCACATTGGACAACCACACCTCGTCGCCTCAGCTCGCGCACGATGACCTTCGCATCCTGCATCGATGAACACGTGATCGCACTCTTCGAGGCCAGCTTCAAGCCCTCATCCTCGAGCATGTCGTTCACAGCAGTGACCCCCATCCACGAGCTGTTCGCGCACGAACTGGCTGGAGCCGACCGCCGTCTGCGACAAGTCGTCGATCCACAATCGCTCAGATAGTGCTGGGTGCGCCACTGTCAACCGATCCATCACCAGGCTGGTGACGCACCGAGCAAAACGTGTGCCCGATCGGAGCCCTTGAATGATGCTCCTCGTGGCTTGGAAAGGCACCGACACCGCATCGCCCTGGTCGAGCATCCTCGGCGCCGCACATATCTGCAGCTCAAGCCCCAGCATCGCCGCTGGGAACCCGCATCTAAGTGCACCCTTGACAAGAGTACTCCACTCCATCATGTCGTAGAAGCTCTGAATGTCGGCGAGCACATGCCCGTTCGCCAACTTGAGCCTCGTATAAAGCTCATCGTCCAGCGCCCTCATGAATGCTTCTTTGAGAGATGAGTTCCCTCGCACTGCAGCATCCCAGGACGGCTGCTCGGCCTGAGCCCATGCTTGGACTACAGGCTCACGCGCCAGCGACCACACTCTGCACAATACACAGATCAAGCCAATCACGCGAAACTGACCCTCGGACTTCTTGGGCAGAAGACGGCCCAGCACTCCCATCAGCTGCCAGGGCCAGGTCTGGCACTCCTCAAACATGTTGAAGAGCTCGGCCAGCTCCGCAACCGTTTCATCAGGTAACCGCTCTAAGTCGGCCGGGGACAGGCGGTCAATGCCTTGCCCTGCCCGCGCCTTCATGGCACGAGACGCCCTCCGAAGATCGTCCACATCGAGCGGGTCGAGAGGTTCCAACCGTGCTCGAGCGTGGATGGTATCGAATAGCGCCAGCACCTCGTCGCGGCTCCTGAGCTCCTGCGATGTCCACAGCTGGTGCCAATGAGCCGCCCTGCGGTCCACCAAGTGGTGCGGGTGGTAGAGCATCTCATTGCCAACCTCGATCTGCTCGGCCGATTGCGGTGCCTCCTTGGTCGCCCTAAAGATGGCGCCCGTGGTAGAATTATCAGTAATCCATGCTTTGAAATCGGCCATAGAGGCAGAGATGGCACGATTGCGTGCCTTGCCTGCAATGACCGCTGCTTCCTTGCTGAAGATCTCCATCTGCTGGTACGGCACACTGGGCAAGTCCTGCAACAACTGCCGCCGAACCGTCCAGGAGGTGGCCGAAGGACCTGCGCCAACCAACTTCTGAACTCCATCAGGTGCCTGAAAACTCACTTTCTGCCCGGCATGCGCAAGATCACGAAGCTGAGCAGCTCCATCCCCTCGACGCCCATGCCGAGCAACCTTGCATCAGATAACGTCCACTCTCTCCCACCAGTTGGCGATCACATCCCTAAAGGACATGTCTCGGTGGTGCTGAGAGTGATGCACGAGTTCGATCCTCATGAACGGGCCCTCCGACCGAGAAGGTGAATCTCCTCCGTCCGTGCCCGCATGTTCGTGATGTGCTGCCTCGACCGTGGCAATCCACGCTGAGAAGGCCCCGCTCGCGCTGAGCACATGCCGGCCCCCGACTGCGCATGAAAGCGAGTCACGGATGGGTGCCCAGACTCGGTCAGGAGTGCGAAGATGAAAACCCACTCGGGCTCGAGCCAGACGCCAGCGTTTGGGCGAGAGCGCAAAAGCAACAGCAGCGGAGGAGGGCGGAACGGTGGGAGCACCACCGTGGGAGCTGGACTGACCTGCTGCCTCTTGAGACGGGTCGATCTCGACTGGGGGGGTCTCAACATTGTCATCCGCGACTTCGCTCTTGGACGAACCTAGGTCAGACGAATTCATTGGAGCACCCCTCTGCTCAATCGAGGCTTCACCAGACGCAAGAGCAGCGGCACCAGCCATCCCAGGCACACCGTCGGGGGGGGGGGGGGGGGCGAGGCCGAGGAAGAGAGGGGAGGACGGAGGGGCTCAACAAAATTGGGCTCGTCGGCCCAAGGATCCACCTCATCGCCCCAAAAACCTACATGGCACCCTTCCCAGGTTTCGGGATCGGCGAGAGGCTCAACAGCCGAAGGCTCAACAAAATCCCCTGGCGCCTGGGCGGGCTGCGTCGACGGAAGAGCAGAGGCTACCTGTGAGTCGACCAGCAGATCCCCAAACAGTTGAGACGAGCGCTCCAAATGCTTTTCACGGGCGAGACCCTGGCGCAACACATTGGCTCGCCGCGCCTGGGAAGACGTCGACCCAGGGGTCCCCTGCTGCCGTGGCCGACGCACCTGAGCCAGACGCTGAGGCAAGATGAGCGAACGCGTAATAAGTTGCTCACCAGCCCCTCTTAACTGCAAAACTAACCCGCAGTGCGGCTTCCAAGGGACGTCCTGGATGGCCTGGATCCCCAAGACATAAGGCGCCGCAGCTCTAGAAACTAACGCGACATCTATGTGAGACGGCCCACAGGCCCCCACGCACGCGTGCTCAACGGCAGCCCGCAGCACCGACGCCCCTATTTTGGACAGAAAGCCCGAGCGCTGGAGCTCCGACGAGGGAAGATTGAAATCGCCCAAGACAGCCCATGGGAGTTGAAAGGCCTGCAAAAGCGTTCCGAGCCGAGCGAACCTAGCTAAGTTTTCAGCACGCAGACCAAGACTACACCTACCGTAGAAGATCACGATCACAATGCTGCATCCCTGCTGGTGGACAACAACTGGCAATAACCCATCCAACTGCTTTTGTCCCTCCACATACAGCTCGGCAAAACGACCGTTGCATAGCCCATGTACCTGTCTATGACCCTGCGAGATGAACATTTCTCCTCCCTCAGTCGCTCTGAGCTTACCTGACTCCGTACGGCAGCGAGTCCCCGTAGCCCTGGCAGCATTAGAGAGAAGTCTAAGCTTGTGCTGTCGAGCTAGCTTTGTCCACTTGTTGGTCGCAGTCACCCCTGCATGCGCTTCGCACAGCGCCGAGCGTTGAAAGGCCTGGCCCTGAGCAAGGTGCACCACATAGCCCCGCGACTTGCGACCCAACATCGTGATATTCGAGAAAAATCTGGACCACTTCGCTGTCCCCAGACGCTGCAGAGTGGCCAGATGTGCTGCCGCCTCTGCCCCCCGTCGCGCCGCTGACACCTTGCTGAGGCTGCTCAGCTCCAGGCGTGGCAGGCGCTCCAGGGGCCCCAGCGGCCACTCCCGAGGTCGACGAACCCCGAGGCGAACCCGACATTGAAGTACCTGAAAAAGACGCCGACGAGCCTCGCGACGTCGCAGCATGTCCCCCTGCGCTCTCGGCGCAAGCCTCGACACCAGCCACAGGGGACGCTGGCTGTGCCACTGATTCGGCCTCCGCCGCCTCGGGCCGCCCAAGCTTGGGCGCTGCGGAGGCCGCCCCTCCCCATGCGCCTGCGCCGCTCGCAGCGCCACGCCCGCCGCCCTTGGCCGCTGCAGCCTGCGCCGCCTGGGCCGCCTGGCTGGCGGCCGCCGCCGCTGCCTGCGCCGCCGCCTGGGCGCTGCGGATCCGCCCGACATCCTCGTCGATCCGCTGCTGCACTGCCTCAGGCGACTCGCCTTCAGCTGCCGCGGGCGGCGCGCCTGGCGGGGCTTCGGCGGGGGCTTCGGCGGGCGACTGCTGCGTCGCGCCCTGCACGTTGCCGTCCAGACCCTTGCGCTTCTTCTTCATCCGCTCCGAGAGCTGCTGTTTGAGCGCCTCCATGCGCGAGTGCCACTCGCGCACCTTGTCGCCATTCTCGCCGAGGACACCCTCGGCGGCAATGAGGTCCTTCTCTAACTGCAGCAATGCCTGCTTCCTGCTGTCCTCGCATTCAAGGGCGCCGTCCTTGAGCGAAGTGAAGAAACTCTCATCCCAGACTATATCGAAACATAAGTCACTCTTGCCTGGGCCTGTCTTCTCGGGGGGCTGTGACTTGCCATGCTCATCCATGCCTGCCTCAGCCGCCAGGGCCCGTACTGCCGTCCTCTTGGCGACCTCGGCCTGTGCCAAGATCCTGACGGTCTCCTCCTCACGCAGCTGTGCCTGCGCCAACTGCTCCTTGGCCCTCGCAACTGCCTTCGCCGCCGCGTCGTGCTTGGCATTGGCGTCGCGCCACGCAGCCTCGGCCCGCCTGTGGGCTTCGCCCGCCGAGATGGCTGGCTTGGCCGCGGGCGGGGCCTGCTGCGCCAGCGCCGCCTGGAGGGCCAGTTTGAGCGCGGGGTCCTGCGCCACCTGGATCGCCTGCTGCAAGGTCGCCGCGGCATCCTGCAAGGACGCCCCCTTAGATGGTGATGGTGGCATCCCAAGCCAAAGCTCAGTCTGCTCCTTCCCGTTGCCCTTGCCAGCCTTCTTCCTGTTCGGGTTGTGGAGCCCGAGAGTAACTCCACACTTGCACCTACAGTTGCGCTGCATCAAAATCGAGTTCCACTCGTAGGTCGAGCACGAAGGACAGCGTGTATATGCACCTGCTCCCTTGGCCATCGTCGGTACAGCACTCCCGCGATGACTTTCCAGGCGGGCGATGCCCACTGCGTGCCTCGGCCGCTGACGAGACTCCGCCCTGCGTCGCTGCTCTCGGCGATGCCACGCGGGCGAGCGAGATCGCGGCTGCTCGCTCGTCCCGCTGCTGCGCCCCTCTCACGGGGCTGGGGTCGTGGTCACTCGGGCTGCTTCCCAAAATGGGCGCCTCGGACCACAACGCCTCGGAGCAGGTCCAGGAGGACGAGCAAGAGCAGGAAGGGTAGGAGGAGGAGTGGGGGTGATGGGGGAGGGCAGGGGGGGAAAGGAGGAGCAGGAACATGGGTAGCAGGAGGAGGAGGAGCAGGAATAGCAGCAGCAGGAGCAACAACACCAGCAGCACCAGCAGCAGCAGGTGCAGGAGGATCAGGGGAAGGAGGGGGAGGAGCAGGATGATGATGATGATGATGATGATGATGATGATGATGATGATGATGATGATGATGATGCTGATGGTGATAATGATGATGATGACAATCATGATGATGATCATGATCATGATGATGATGGTGATGATGATGGTGACGATGATGATGATGATGATGATGATGCTGAGGATGATGAGGAGGAAAAGGAGGAAAAGGAGGAGGAGACGACGCAGAGGAGGAGCCCCCCCCCCCCCACCCCCTCCCCCTCATGCCTATTCCTCGTCCTCCTCCTCATCCGTCTTCTCCTCCGCCCTCTCGTCCTCGTCCTCGCCATCGTCCTCGTCCTCCTCCTCCTCCTTAACCTCCTCGTCCGTCCGTCCTCCTCCTCTTCCTCATCACCATCATTATCATCACCATCACCGTCACCATCATCATCATCATCAGCATCATCATCGTCAGCATCAGCAGCAACATCATCATCATCCTCATCAGCATCAGCATCAGCATCATCATCATCATCATCATCATCATCATCATCATCATCATCATCATCATCATCATCATCATCATCATCATCACCATCACCATCACCATCACCACCATCATCATCATCATCATCATCATCATCATCATCATCATCATCATCATCATCATCATCATCATCCTGCTCCTCGTTCTCATCGTTCCCCTCCTCCGTGTCCTCGTCCTCCTTCTCCTCCCCGTCCTTTAAGCTTGGTGACAAGTCTTGGGTTCGGTCGTGGGACGTCGAAACGCAATCAATAATGCCGAGACCGCCCCTTGCGACCGCAAAGGCCCC